TGTGTTTCTGTGAAATATTTTAAAAGAAAGTTAATACTTGGTGAAACAATAATATTAGAAATAAAAATTCATTGAATTGTGTTTCTGTGAAATATTTTAAAATAAAGTAAATACTTGGTGAAACAATAATATTCGAAATAAAAATTCATTGAATGGTGTTTCTGTGAAATATGTTTCATTCAAGTTAATAATCGTAGGAACAATAATATTCGAAAATATTTTACAAGAAACCAATGTTATATTGAACAAATTCTGAGAAACGAAGTGTATGAAATCTGTGAAACAAGGGAACATCGTATAAACACTATAAAAAATAAAATGATTCCAAGTGAATACTCGCTAAGTACAGAAGTTTTTCGATTAGTGTAGTCACCTTATTGAAGTTTAATAGTTAACTTTAAGTACTCGTTGAGTATGAAACAAGCTAGAAGCTTTACATTTAAGTGACAGCTTTGTGTATTTTGTATCATGATCATTGTGTCATCTGCTAAGCCACAAGGACACTCCTGTGCAGCCATTTTATATTTGAACGTGTAAGTTGCTTTAGAATAAATAACTTCTTAAAACACGAAATTCCGGTACTCAATTGATCTTGACTCACTAACACCTGACAAATCCTGTTCTCTGCGTCATTGCTAAGTATATACGTACACTCTTGTTCATATCCACGAAATGGTAGACAAGGTATGAGAAATTCGAGCATTTTGTATACTACATCATCATCATCAACAGCTTTTAATAGTCCACTGCTGGACATAGGCCTCTCCTTACAAAGAAGGTTTTGGCCTACTATACCACGCTGGCCAGACGGATTGGTGTAGGGTTTATTTAAAGTTTTCCTTCAGTGAGTTGTTGTCCTGCTTAGTTTGCCGTCTTAGGGCCAGCGCAGACACTCGAGAATAAACTTTAAGACTATTGCTATAAAGTGCATATTTTGTCATATTCAAACATGTATCCTTATCTCTATAGTTTTAAAGTTAATTTTCGAATGACTTAAAAATGTCCTCTCCTTTGCGTTCCTATCACGGCTACGGAATGAATAGGGGTGAGCCAACGCCTGAGTGCCACCACTGCGATGGCCAGACCGTGGACACGGCTCTCCACACGCTGGCAGAGTGCCCGGCGTGGGTTGAGCAGAGGCGAGACCTCGTGGCGGCCATCGGAGTGGGAGTTCTCTCGCTCGATAGCCTGATTGCGGCTATCGTGCGGAGCGAGAGTGCGTGGAACTCTGCCGTCTCCTTCTGCGAGCAAGTTATGCTCGCGAAGGAGACGGCGGAGCGGGACCGGGAGAGGTTTAGAACTCTCCCGGCCCGCCAGGCCCGGGCACGGGCCAGGCAGCGCAGGCGACTCAGGCGCCGGAGGTCGCAGGACGACCTTCGTCCTCCATAAGCGCAGGCCTGGGGGTGACAGGTGAGGCCATCTGTCACCCTAGCAGAAGCAGGCCGGGGTGGCGGCGAGCGCGTTGCGAAGCGCGCTCGCTTCCAGGGAGCACAGGGAACATGAGGTTCCCACACGGGGCGGGGGTCGTCTACTCGTCTGTAGATGACCCGAGGTATGTCGGGGCACCAGGGCCTTCCTTTCTAGGGTATACCTGGTTCCCCGGCTATTAGTACCCGGCGAAGGCGTGCGGTTTTAGTCGGTTCGAGTCCGACATGCCACCGACAGGTGGTATCCGAGGGGATTTCCGCACGGAAAAAAAAAAAAAAAAAAAAAAAAGGGGTGCTGACACTCTGTATTCTTAATCTGTCACTACACAGTATACTATTTAATAGTAGCAAGCCTATTACCACTTTAGAAATTAGATGGGCAAATTCGAAGTTAAATATGAAAGGAAAAGTTGGTAAGATGGAAGTTAATGGTTGTAAAGGGATATTGCTTATAAGGATAGATTAGGGGTTTTAAAGAATATATCTAGTAGGTCTAGGCCGTGAACCTGTAACTCAAACTGACCGTTGCTAGGAAGCACAGGTCCTATAACCGGTTTCTAAACACTTGAGTAAAATTAACATTTATGGTCGAGGTTATTTTTGATTGAGAAAATTTTTGTACTACACCATGTCTGCTACTAAAAGTTCAATAACAGCATTCCATCTCGCTAGTCACAGTATTTTATATACATTTTTTTAAAGACAGCTCCTACACTAAAAGACCCAGTAGGAACATATCCTGTGTCGGAGGACTTTACAAACTTTCATGAAACGGGAATAAAAACAGACTCAGATCAACAATTTGTGGATCACACAAAGTGTTGTCCCATGTGGTGATCAAACCCACAACACTCAGCGCAGTAGGAAGCGGCGAGGTGATTGCTTAAACCACCACCAACCACAAAATTGGTATCCTTCTACATCCAGGAATGGCAATCGTCCTTATTAGTTTCTCACCACTCTGTTTAGCAGATACTTTCTTATAGATTCAGAAAGGTCATGGATATGGGTCACACCTCACACAAGCATAAACAACTCCGTGTGGTGACTGATTAAGAATACGGAGTGTCACCTCCGCTATTAGGCAGGCCTACACAGGACGACAGCACTGCAAAGAGTAAGGAAACTTAAATGAAACCCATTACAACCCGTGTGGTATAGTAGGCGAAAATCTCCTGTTTAAGGAGAGGCTTACGTGCAGCTTTGGACTATTAAAGGCTGTTGATGAAAAACAACTCACGATAAAATGAGATCTGCTTACATATTCTGATGATGATTGCTAGATGCCCAGACACAGAACAAAGGATCATGCTCATTACTTTGTCTTTAACCTATTAGTGGTTAGGAATCACGATTGCTAACGGCTAGACCATATTCAGAATATAACCATATAATGTTTTGACTGCACGGATGGCGTAGTGGTTTAAGTGGTCACCACGCCGCTCACTACTACGCCGAGTGTTGTGGCTTCAAACCCACATGGGACGACACTTTGCGTGACCCACAAATTGTTGTTCTGAGTCTGGTTGTTCTTCGTGTCCGTTTCATGTATGTTTGTAAAGTCCCCCGCGACACAGGAATATATTACTAATGCCGGCGTTGTCTTTTTAAAAGAAAAAAATGTTTGTCCCATATTGACAAGAGCATGTAAGTAATAAATACTTCTTACACCTTGTCCCTTGACCCCACCGACTTGATATTAGATGATTATTAATTGGGATTGCTGTTGATATCAAGTTACTAGTTCAATACAATATTTGTAATCTTAAAACTTGTTTTGATTTATACAATATACTAGCTGACTCGCTCAAATTCGTCTGCTTCGAGCAAAAGGAATAAATTTTCCCCGTTTTCGGAACATTTTTATTGATACTCGGTTCCTATTGGTAGTAGCGTGATGTTATATAGCCTATATCCTTCCTCGATAAAATAATAATTTACCACATTCACACAACGCCATCTAGTCCCAAACTAAGCAGAGCTTGTACTATGGCTACTAGACAACTGATATAAATACATATATACTTTTTTCTGTAAATACATACATATTATACATAGAAACAACGAGACCAAATCAAACATTAAATGTTCATGCACACCAAAGTTTGACTTGAGCGGGAATCGAACCCCCTTTGGAATAGCAGTGCGTTATACAAACCACCACGCCATCCGGTCATCTAAATGGCTATCCAACACTAAAAAAAAAAATCGTAACCGTAGTTCCTGAGATTACCTCAAACATACAAACTGACAAACTTTACCTCTTTATAATATCATAGTATATGTAGATAAAAAGTATTATCTGTAAGTTTGAAAACGCTACTACCAAAAATAACGAAGTTTCATATAAATTTCCAACCCTCATTTTGCACCCTTAGGGGTGGAATTTTCAAAAATCGTTCTAATCTTAGTTTCTTAGTTCACTTAGAAAATCTTAGTTCATATCTACCTCACCTAAGGAACATTTGTGCAAAATTTCATACTTTTAGACCCAGCAGTTTAAGCATCAGCTTAAACTGCTGGGTCTAAAAGTATGAAATTTACGGCCTTTTAATGAAATTTAGTGACATATTTATGCTGCAGTATGGCTCTCCCAAGGTATATTTATAGTTGAAGAATGCAATTGCGATTCTCGCTCTCCCGCCCATTGGCATGGAGAGGAACACTGGGGTGGTTTTAAGTCGCTAAGTGTCCGACAGACCCCTTAGTCCTCCCCCAATGGGCGAAGAACATACGTGAGGATTTTCCATCCAGTCCAAAAAAAAAAGGTATAATTATTATTATTCCTAATTCTTAAAAAAAATAAGTCTCAAGACAAGAGTTAAGTATTAAGTCAAGAGCTAAGACTTAAGTCAGTTATATGTTACATCTACAAGTCAAAACCAAAAGACTTTTCTTCTTATGCTTCTGTACTATTTTGTCCAGTTCTTCTCAAATTACTAACTACTATTGAACTGTCTTGTTATACTTAAAACTAATCACTATAGCCTTATCGTGTCATTAACAAAAACAATTTTGTATTCTTTCGTTTATCTTTGTTAATAAAATTTAACGAATAGTTGGCGACGCGCGACGATTAGAACAAGATAGACATAACATAAATGATATGGATACTGGTCCTAAGAATCATCAGAAGGTCAATTCTCGTAATAAAAGTTCGGTCTCAATTCAGTTCCGATATCTGTCGATCTCACAACTATCATAAAAGGTATTATCGTTGTATAGTATTTAACATCGAAAGTTGACTGTCATGTAATTATATCGTACTGTAAATGAAAACTGAATCGATAAGATTACCGATTCAATTTTCAGTTACAACCGATAGCGATAGCAGATGATATTATGACAGTTGTGAGATCGAAATTTGATCGGAACTGAGTTGTGACCAAATTTAAATTTCGAGAATTGGCCTTCAGATCACATCATATTATATGTTTCTATTCCAAATATAAACAAAGTGATAACAGGAACATACTCGGGTATAAATTCACTTTAACAACACCGCCATGACAGTCAGGAGTTAGAATTCGTTTAAAACACTTTTTACGCATCAGGGTAAAAGTTCTATTTAAAATGAAGGTATTGATAGCTCTGTGTGTTTTGGCGTTCATTACGTTATCGTTTGCAAAGCCTCAGGTGCATCCCCATCCCCGAGGGTGCCGCTCGATCCTTGATAGATGTAAGTTCGTTTAACATCCTCGGTTTAGTTTTTTGGTAATATTCCAATATCTATACTTGTGTATAGATAGATAGATAGATATATATGTGTTCTCACTGCTTCATTCATATCAACGGATACGTGGGAAAAATAAATCTATACTTAATATTATAAAGCTGAAGAGTTTGTTTGTTTGTTTGTTTGTTTGTTTGTTTGAACGCGCTAATCTCAGGACTGGTCCGAAAAGAAAAATTCGTTCAGTGTTAGATAGACCATTTATCGAGGAAGGCTATAGGCTATATATCATCACGCTAAGACCAATAGGAGCGGAGCACCAATGAAGAATGTTTCAAAAACGGAGAAAATTTATTACTATTGAGAGACGCAGACGAAGTTGCGCGGGTCAGCTAGTATCTACATATACGTTTTCTCTCCAGTTGCAGTTGTCAATTGGCATTGGTGTTCACTTCATATCCCGTCCCCGTGACCCGTCTGCTTGTTTCGCTCTTCCTTCCCCGTCCTCACGACTTTAAGTCTACTGAGATATGGTTGAAATTCGATTTTTTTACATAGAGCGACTGCTATCAGAGCTCCACTACCCAACCACTAGGCGCTATCGAAGTTCTGTAGGAAGACCGTTGTCGGACTTTTCAAGGCTCCCTGCCCGTACCAATTGGTACAAATGTTCGTATGGTAACCGGAGACTCACGTAGTCTCCGAGTCACGGAGGTATCTCACCCATTCATAAACTGAGCGGAATTAGCCACTAGGATTGCTTAATTTTGCAGTGTGTTAAAGACTTAGCCACGAGCCCATACCCGAATCCCCTATATCATAAAAATATTGACCAAGTTATATCATTCCTTTACAGCAGTAATAACATGAAATTAGTTTTCTAAATATCTGTTTATTTCCAGGCCATAGCTATTGCGAGGAAGGCACGCACTCTTATACAATCGGTTGCGACTACAGAGTTCTTGAAGCTACTTGCGATGAGCCGAACCCACAGCCGGAGAAATTCATGATGTGTGATTATTCAGCTTGTTACTGCGACGCGCCAACTGTCAGGGACAGTGCCAGTGGAAAGTGTGTGGCTCTCGATAAATGTCCACAGAAGTAATAATTCGATCCCCAAAGTCAACTACTATGTTCATTTACTACTAATTCCAGAAAATAAATATGGTAAATATACCGTTTGTTATCAAGTATTATTATTAATTTTAAGTCTTCCTAAGTAATGTATAAAAGTCATTTATTCTTGAGCAGTTTGAAATGTCAAGTTGTCAAAACTGGAACATAAAAGACGCGCTGGTCCTAATTGTTTAAAAGAAGCAAATGCAGAAGCCAAATCAATGTAAAAAAAAAGCAACAATGATTGTGATTCATTCATTTTGTCTGCTGCTTTGCTAAGGAGGGAAGTGGATTTACTGTATTTCCAACTCCTCCAATTTTCTTCTGATTAATTTCGTTGCGGGTTCCAAGACAGTTTAATTTTTTTCCTGGGCCTTCTCGAGTGTCATAACTCGGTGTGTTCGTGGGTCACTGCTGTGGATCCTGGTGTACAGGAGTTACAGTGGTGGGCGTGTGGCAGGGATTGGTCCCATTAAAAAATGTTTATGCTTACTCATAGTTAGTAGAATTTGTCCTATCTCCACACTTAAAAAACAATATATCATCGACAGTAATTTTTTTACATTCATGTAGCCCAGTGCGCAAAATAAGTTAGGTATGATTTGTAACATTTTTATTTTAATTAAACTTACAAATATTATACTCCTATCTGCTCGTCTGTCTTCTAAGTCATAAAAAAAATGTTTTGGTCCTTTAGTCGCCTCTTATGACGTCCACGGGATGAATAGGAGTGGTAACACTCCATATACTTAATCCGTCATTACAAGGACAGCCAAATGTTAGTAGCCTTTATACAGAACGCGCCAATATTTTTTGGTAAAACGTCATCGAGAGCCGAACCAAACTTGGGTAGGAAATCAAATCTTCCAAAAAGAAGTTTCAGATTGGTGTTAATGACTTAATCGATTCAAAATTAATTATTTCTACTAAGATACAGGTTTACGCGTTCACTGCCAAGAATATATACTGTTTGTCGTACTACGTCGCTTTAGAAGTACTTTCCTAACTGCCACATCCAGTATAGGAAACCTTGGCGTAAACATATCGATTAAAGTCATGGTTTGAGGATTTTGAGGGTAAGCTTGGTGTGCTTAATTGATAAAGACGGTTGAACTTCGTAAAGCGCCGATTCGGTCGTATTTGAAATTATCTTCTCATTCTCTCCCTCTGAACCAAATTCACCTATTATATGCAGACATCATACATATGGGTAGTTGTCCGTGTAGTGATGGATTTAGAATACAGAGTGTCACCGTCCCTATTCATGCCGTTGGTGTCTTTAGAGCCGACTAAGAGAGCAAACTACGCATAACAGTACCACTGCAAAGAGAAGGAAAACTTGAAACAAACTCTATACAACCACAAGTCTGGCCAGCGTGGTATAGTTGGTCCAAGCCTCCGTTTTAATGAGAGGCATATGTCTAGCAGTGGACTATTAAAGGCTGTTGACGTTTGAGATTGTTTCGTAGCAATTCTTGTAAGTACATATATTGAGACCCATTACTTTGTCTGCCACTCTATATATGTAAACACAATGCTTGAAAGTTACTATAAGTAGATGCAATGTGTATCCTAGTAAAAGTTTAGACTACATAGTTTATACAATATTGTTATAGTACCGAGATATACAGTATAGACATCATCAACAGCCTTTGATAGTCCACTGCAGAACATAAGCCTCTCCTTATAAAAGAGGTTTTGGCCTACCATACCACGCTGGCCAGACGGGTTGGTATAGGGTTTGTGTCAAGTTTTCCTTCTCTCTGCAGTGCTGTTATTCTGTGTAGTCTTTTCCCTTAGTCGGCTCTTACTACACCCACGGGATGAATAGGGGTGGTGACACTCTGTATTCTTCATCCGTCACCACACGGACCTACAACCATAATATTGTTGTAGTATAGTAGTTCTAGCGACATGCTGGTCATCAAGATAACATATATTCTAATCAACTCCAACAACGCTTAGGTTTTACAATAATGTATAGAGCTCCTGTACTTCGCAATTTTAAACATAATAGAAAGATAGAAAAAATAAACCGTTGATAAGCTATCTAAAATAAAACAATAAGACAATTTACAAAAAGAAATGCTAAAAATTAATGCAAAATTCATTTATGATGGGTGTGACAACAGATTTCGGGTTTGTTTCGAGTTATCAATACTGAACTAGATTCCAAACACCATTCAAACTACTACATCTCCAAACCAGAACTACTTAAACAAAAGCCAAAAAATAAAACTACTCCGCATAAACATCTGTGGCCTTAATAAAAATTTTGATGAACTGCGCATGTTGCTCCTACAAACTAACTTAAAATATGATGTCATAGTACTTAAAGAATGCTGACTAATCAAAGTAGTCAATTAACCTAGCTGAGACAGGTTTGCAGTACACTTTACAAAACCAACAATAAACCAAAATGAAGGTGAAGTCATCTATATAAACACAAATATTACGTGTACAATAAGTATGCCACTATTTCGAGATGTAACCTGTTTGGTCTTTAAAATATATGACATTAGTATTGTGGCAATCTACTGCGTCCCATCATTAAAGACAAAAAAATTATGATTTAAACCGTGTCTATACTTCGTCTAGAAACCTGATCTTTGTCGGGGATATAAACATCGGCCTAAGTACAAACAGTTCCAATCCATACACAGAAGAATGTCTCACCTTCAATGCTTCCCATGGCCTTTCCCCCACTCACAATAGACAAGAGCTAGTCAAAAATGTGTGAACTATATTCTAGCTAACTTAGCTCTACCTTATGTACTACTCTATTATTAAAATCATTCATTACAGACCACCTGCCATTGGTATTGTTCATTGACAAACATATAGTAATATACTAACAAAGAAACACCAGCTTTACCATTTGTTGTATTAAAATTCAAGCAGAATTAGATAGTTCAGACTTCTCTCAAATCTTTTCTTGCAACCATGTGAATCTGGCAGCAGACGGACACACAGACTTTCTGTCTATGTCATCATCATCAACAGCCTTTAATAGTCCACTGCTGGGCATAAGCCTCTCCCCTAAGAAAGGAGGTTTTGGCCTACTATACCACGCTGGCCAGCCGGGTTGGTATAGGATTTCTGTCAAGTTTTCCTTCTCTCTGCAGGGCTGTTGTTCTGCGTAGTTTTCTCCCTTAGTCGGCTCTTACGACACCCACGGGATGAATAGGGGTGGTGACACTCTGTATTCTTAATCCGTCACCACACGGACTATCTTTATCTGTATCATCTTTCTATGTAACGACCACTATAAACAGACATACAAACATAATGAGGATAACAAGAAAAAATAATCCTTAAGCCATGGATAACAGTTGGCCATTTTGAAATTTTTTGAATCTTTCTTAGGCTTTTGACACGGCCTCTGTCCCTATCCTCTTAAAAAAGTTAGAAAAAATTGGTATTCGATGCATACCACATCAGCTCTTCCAAGTCAGCCTCACCAATCAGTGACAATCAGTAGACCGCTACGTCGGTGATGAGATTACTGTCCATTACGGGGTCTCGCAAGGGAGCATTTTGGGCTAATTCTATTCCAGATGTACATTAATTACCTCTGCATACTCTCTCTATCAAATACAAACATCTTCACCTATGCTGATGATACTACTGTCTTAGTCACGGGATCCAATTGGCAAATAGTAAAGAAGAAAACAGAACACTCCCTGTCTATCATAATGCACTGGCTAAACCAAAATCTACTAATACTGAACCTGTCAAAAATACACTATATTTCCTTCACGAGCACGAAAGTCGGTAGTCCCTCTCAAAACTTCTCCATAAAGGCATACATCTGCTTTACACCAAACACATGGCCCTGCAACGACATTACCAAAGTTGCACCGATGACAACTCATGTAAGACGTCTCATTCACCTATTTAAATCACTACCGATATTACCCCTCCAGTAAAGCTAAAATTAATATATTTGGCGCTTGGTCAGTCTGTATCACTGTATGGGGAGGTGCAGCCAAATCTCATTTAATCGGCCTTGAACGTGCACAGAGAGCAGTACTAAAAGTTATATCGAAAAAAACTTACAGGTAACCTACTGTTAGTCTCTATTCAGACATAAAAAATTCTAACAGTTCGCTAACTATTAGTTCATCGAATAGCTTTAAGAAAGCACCAAACTCTTCCAGCCCCCGACCCCAGTAGGCGGATCAAAAAAAACATTTTCTCATCTGCATCATCTCGCTGCAAAACGTCCTTTAGTAGGCATCAATTCCATAGTTTAAGATCTAAAATATATAATATACAACAAAAAACTAAACTTAAAGTAACAAATTGGACACAAGAAGTAGGCTATCAAATGACAGAGGATTTAACCGCACATATGGATATTCATCTCACACAATAGAATCATTACATTGCAAAGTAACAGACTTAGAGATCTTCCAACACTTTAACAGGCATAACAGACACACACTAACATGCACACATACACCTCACACACGCACTATTTTTTTTTTCGAATATTGTCAAATATATTCGTAAAATAATATTATAAACGATAACAAAAAACTGCAATGTAAATAATCAAACAGTCGAAACGCGCGGGACCTCTCCTCCGGCCGCCATTTTGTGTAAGTGTGCGTAGACTATTAGCACGGAATACCCATGTACGTAGTTATTACTTTTGTGTGATACCTACGTGGAATGAACTTAACCTTTGACAGCTTATTGCATAAAAGTTTAACATTCCGGCAGAAAAATCCAATGATTTTCTATTGAGAATGATGGTCTGAATACACTATTTTAGTATTCGTTACGACGTCTCTTTCACTGTGTATAATTTAGAAACAGATACAAAGAATAATATTGTAAGATTTATTCCACAGCGTTGCCTAAACCAAAATAAAGCGCAACTTCAACTTTTTTTTAGAATACGAACAAAAATGCTTGGACACATTATTATTTTGTAATTAAAACGTACGTATAATATACACTGTGACCATGCGTTGATAAGACCTGGAAACAAATTGATGTTTAGTAAACATCTGGAATCTGGACCAATATGGAAAAACAAAATATTATAATCCATTAGTTCTAGCGACAAGCTGGTCATCAAGAAAACATAATACAACATAAGGAGTTGATTAGAATATATAATTACGTTGTTGGAGTCGATTAAAATATGTAAAAGTTTTTATGTTCGACCAATGTCATTTGTATTCAATTATACTTTACAAGTATAACACAGTATATATATTTTTTAAATCACTCCTCGGACCCTGTAGAGAGAAGTCGTAAATAAACACCTGTAAATATGATATTATTATGGATTTTATACTTTTTTGCGTTCGTCACTCATTTGTCTGCTCGATCTCAGTCTCCTGAAGATCATTCACGAGGTTGCAACAAAATTAACGGCTTATGTAAGTATTCATATTTAAAAAACCTATACTTGCAAGTTCATCTGCGTTTATCTCACGGTTTCCATTGACCATCGCCTCCCATGAACTTCTGCAACTCAGAAGTCACAAACGCGTTGTCGGCCTTTTAGGAAGGAGTACGCTTTTTCTTGACGGCTCCTCCGGCCGCCATTTTGTGTAAGTGTGCGTAGACTATTTGCACGGAATACCCATGTACGTAGTTATTACTTTTGTGTGATACCTACGTGGAATGAACTTAACCTTTGACAGCTGATTGCATAAAAAGTTTAACATTCCGGCAGAAAAATCCAATGATTTTCGATTGAGAATGATGGTCTGAATACACTATTTCAGTATTCGTTACGACGTCTCTTTCACTGTGTATAATTTAGAAACAGATACAAAGAATAATATTGTAAGATTTATTCCACAGCGCTGCCTAAACCAAAATAAAGCGCAACTTCAACTTTTTTTTAGAATACGAACGAAAATGCTTGGACACATTATTATTTTGTAATCAAAACGTACGTATAATATACACTGTGACCATGCGTTGATAAGACCTGGAAACAAATTGATGTTTAGTAAACATCTGGACCAATATGGAAAAACAAAATATTATAATCCATTAGTTCTAGCGACAAGCTGGTCATCAAGATGACATAATACAACATAAGGAGTTGATTAGAATATATAATTACGTTGTTGGAGTCGATTAAAATATGTAAAAGTTTTTATGTTCGACCAATGTCATTTGTATTCAATTATACTTTACAAGTATAACACCGTATATATATTTTTTAAATCACTCCTCGGACCCTGTAGAGAGAAGTCGTAAATAAACACCTGTAAATATGATATTATTTTGGATTTTGTACTTTTTTGCGTTCATCACTTATTTGTCTGCTCGATCTCAGTCTCCTGAAGATCATTCACCAGGTTGCAACAAAATTAACGGCTTATGTAAGTATTAATATTTAAAAAACCCATACTTGCAAGTTCATCTTCGTTTATCTCACGGTTTCCATTGACCATCGCCGCCCATAAACTTCTGCAACTACATAATATAATAGTGTATATAATAATTTCTTGAAGGTTTCAAGATCGTATCGGTCCGGAACTAGCCCGGATAGCGTATAAATGAGTAGCTAAAAGCCATGATAAGCCTTAATAGCAATCAAAGCATTTAACAGTATCTACACTAGTTGAGCCTGACTTTTCTTTTTTCTTAGTCACTTCCAGCACTGGGAATACGCCCTGTGTCGCGGGGGACTTTACAAACATACATGAAACGGACACAAAGAATACCCAGACTCAGAACAACAATTTGTGGATCACACAAAGTGTCGTCCCATATGGGGTTTGAACTCACAACACTCGGCGTAGTTACTATTGAGATAATGGTGCATTTTATTTATACCATCTACATACAACAATTGCGATCAAATATTTCAAAGAAAAAGTACAATAGAATTTAATAAACATTGTTTTATTTCTAGGCGTAAAAGAATGTGAAGAAGGAACTTATAATTATACACCGGGTTGCGGCCCTATAACGCCAGAAGCGACTTGTAGAAATCCATATCCTGTGCCGGAGAATGTAAAAAAATGCGACTATTCTGAGTGCTACTGCGACCCTCCCACTGTCAGGGACAGACGTAGTGGAAAGTGTATGACTCGTGAAAAGTGCCCTTTGCCCTTATTAGCATAAGTACAGTATGGCATCTATTCATAATTATTGTATACACATATTCCTCAGTTTGTTTCCTTTATTTTCTAAAATTGTTAATCGTTTATTTTGATTTTAAAGTACAGTGATAATTGTAATCATTTCAAATACTTGTTCCCCATTCAATGTTTTGAAAAATTAAATATATTAGTTACAAAATATGGTGAAATAGAAAAAACAACATTATTTTTGGTTTTATTTATATCAGGTTTGTCGACAATAAATAAACTAAAGTTGAAACACATTGGTAATAATCAGATATTATAAGTACCAAGGTGTAGATTAAATAAAAATTCTGCCACTTGTTCCATTTGAGCATGAATTATCAAATATTTTTTGAACTATACGAGACGCAATACCATAGTGATATGGTACCACAAACCATCAAAATTCACATTAGTAATTTCGAATACTATAGATATAACATATACGCATTCACAAAAGTAAGGAATCCAACAGCAGTACTAATGCCATAGAAATACAATTTAACTAATATTTACAGGGTTTTTATTTCATTAAATCGTTTTTACCGTAACATGAATATAATGATTACATCACTATGTAGTAAAAATATCACATATTACATAGATTTTTATGGCATAGAGTAGGGCGCCTGACTCCAGCCGTCGGGATGGTTTTTAGTGGAATCACCACATACTCCTGGCTCCTGAGTCCCCGAGGAGCAGGAGATCCGAAGCGATTTTCCACCCCGTCAAAAAAAAAGGTGTAAGAGAGCAGACGGGTCACCTAAAATTAAGTGACTATCGCAGCACCTATAACTAAAGACAAGGAAGTTGGCGCACTTCGAGTGTTACCCTCCTAGAAATAGAGGACCACCTTACTCACTGTAATAATAACAAGATACACATTAATTATATTGTACCTCAAAATACATTTGAGCAGCAGATAACTTTCCTACCTATATAATTTAAGAATACATTAAATATAATCAATAAATATATTTTTATCTTACACCTACTGTTTTAATAAATCAAATAATCTTGTTTTTGAATAAAATAATCATTTCCTGTGAGGAACAAAACTGGCCAACAGGCACACACAAATAATTCTACCATAACTGGTAGTTTATAGAGTGGTATATAAAGCCGATCTATTTAGGATGCAGCATCCAGTTCAGTGTTACAGCTTGCTCATACATCTCGTATTATTCTACCAAATTAAAAACATCGCAATAAAGATGAAGGTTTTAGTCGCTATTTGTGTTCTGACGCTGGTCGCGTTATCGTTTGCTAAACCTGAAGGGTATTCGCGCGGTTGCATCTATATATTGGGCAGATGTAAGTTCTAATTAAGTTAGATACTGAGAAACTCCAGATGTATTTTACGTACTATTTTTGTCTATTCAATTGATGATGAATGGCACAACATCAGTATTATTCCCAACGTGAAATATACTGTCTTGAATAATACAGCTTTATTTTAAGTAGTGTCTGTGTTTTTTGTGATATAATGGAGAAAAGAGCGGATGAACCCCCTAATAATAATTAACTAGCGCTATAGAGGCACAAGTGAGCTGTCGTCCTTTGAACCGAAGCACAGTAAAAGGAACAATTTGATCTGTGAGCCAAAACACGGCTCTCCACTGGATGTGTTGTGAGAACAAATATTATCCATAGTAATACCATACCACTTAGTAGCCAGTAAACCAGTTAACAGGAATACAGGTATTGCATTTTGTATAAAAAAAAGCCTGAGCAACGGTTCACAAACCATCTAAGGAACTGTAAAACGAAAAGTAATAAAGAGCCATATCTTTAAAGTGGCTACATAATTTAAACTTGACACGCAAACCAATTATAGCATAAAATTAAATGATAACAGCAGAAAAGCAGCGTGCGTCTGCGCAGAATGTCATTTTGTTTGTATGTTTCAATGGATCGGAACCCAAGTCTAACAACTTATAATATTGTTCAACATTTGTAGATTTTAATTTTAATTCTTAATGACTAGTAATGTAAATAAAACTTTGACAATCTATTATCAAAACGTGCGTGGGCTTCGAACGAAAACTGATATATTCTATCGTCAACTGCTATGTACATCATTTGATGTTATTATGCTCACAGAGACATGGCTGCTGGATGGTATAACAGACTCGGAGCTCTTTGACAATCGGTATGTTGTGTGGCGTCGCGATCGTGAATATGTTACCACGGGTCAGACAAGAGGTGGAGGTGTCCTGATTGCTGTTCGTAGGGAAATGCTAGCGATGTCTCAACCTAGTTTTCACTCTACAGCGGAAGATCTATGGATAAGGATACGCTTAAAAAGATCTGACACTCATGTCTGTTTTGATCTTTACCTCTGTGTAATTTACTTGTGCAAACAGAACCTTGGATATTCATTTTCATCACAACTTGCTAACTTTCTTTTCGAATTGAATCGCACCGTGGTCAACAATATGTCGGATACATTTCTTATTGTGGGTGATTTTAATATGAGTGGAATAAACTGGCAGCCTTCAACTGATCAGTGTCTTGTTCCTACCAACCTTAGTACACACGATGAATACTCATTGATTGATGAGCTGTTTGCTTTAAATTTTGAACAATATAACGCCACTGTCAATAAGTACGGTAAGACATTGGATCTGGCTTTTTGCAATAATTATATAAACATAACTGAGTGCTTGGACCCCTTAGTGCCTATTGATGATTACCACCCTGCACTATTAATTAATATAAATTTCGCAGAAACCACAACTTTACGGTATGCGCCGCGTACCCGTTACTCATATGACAAGGGAGACTATAAGGCCATTAACAGCAATATAGACTCCATTGATTGGGACACGGAGTTCTCAATGCGCTCAGTTGACGAATCTGTTGATCATTTTAATCAAATTATACTTGATCTGCAACAAAAATATATACCAAAAAAATACATTAATGATAAGTCTTATCCGATATGGTACAGTCCCACGTTAATAAGAACAATAAAAGAAAAATACAAGTACCTTAAAAAGTTCAAGACGTATGGAAATAAGTCAGATGAATTGGCGTTTAAACTCCTCCGAGCGCGAGTTAAAATGATGGAGTCTGAATGTTATACGTCCTATTTAGAGCTTACTGAGGCATCAATCAAGATTAATCCGAAACACTTCTGGACATTTGTCAAAAACCGTCACAAATCTAACTCGATCCCTAGCTCCTTAACGTACAATAATCAAACTTTGCTTACAGGGGAATCAATATGTGACGCGTTCTCTACTTATTTTGAATCAAATTTTCTTAAAAAGTCTTCAAATACAGTCGATAACAGTCGTAAATCCAGGTATTCTCTCTCTACTTCCGACCTATGTAAAATCACAATAAACGTTGACTACGTTGGTGACTTAATTCGAAAGCTGGATACATCCAAGGCCCCAGGACCGGATAACATATCTCCAAAACTTCTTGTGCACTGTGCATCATCTCTTGCCCAACCTATTTCTATAATTTTTAAGAATTCCTTGTCCTCTTGTTCTGTCCCAAAGGTGTGGAAATCATCTTTCATAACACCTATCCACAAAAAGGGTGCAAAAACAGAAGTCACTAACTATAGACCTGTCTCTAAACTCTGTATAGTGGCTAAAGTTTTTGAAAAAGTAGTCTATGACCAGGTATACTCAGCCCTAAAAAATTCTTTCAGTCCTTCGCAGCACGGTTTCTTAAAGGGCAGATCTACTGTCACTAATCTTGCCTTACTAAATGATTTTATCACTGACACTATGGACAAAGGTAAGCAGGTTGATGTGGTCTATACTGATTACAGCAAGGCCTTTGACCGTATAGATCATGATATCCTCCTATTAAAATTAAATGGCATGGGTATCCATGGTGACTTGCTGCGGTGGTTTTCCTCGTATTTGGAGAATAGAACTCAAGCTGTAGTTCTCAATAACTATATCTCTGGCTGGGTGCCTATCTCTAGCGGCTGTCCTCAGGGGTCTTTGCTTGGACCCCTTCTATTTACGATATACGTGAACGACATACAATTATGCTTTAGATCATCGAGACTCCTATGTTTTGCTGACGATATGAAAATTTTCGCAGCGATCTCATCACTTGAGGATATGACCGCGCTTCAAGCTGATTTGACTCGTTTGGAGGAGTACTGTCGAAACAACAAGCTAGATCTGAATGCTACAAAATGCTCGGTGGTGACATATTCGCGAAAGCGATCCGCTATAACTACAGTCTATAAGTTAAACGGTGATTCGCTGCCTAGATGTGCTTCCGTCCGGGATCTGGGTGTCACGCATGACTCGAAGCTGATCTATGAAGAACACATAGATGCAATCGTTGCCAGAGCTTCTAAAGCATTAGGATTCATAATGCGACTGTCTAGGGGCTTCAAACAGGCAAAAACTTTAAAAATTCTGTATTGCACCTTTGTTAGAAGCCATTTAGAGTATGCATGTGAAGTTTGGAATCCTTGCTACCAAAAATATGTGGACCGAATTGAGAATATCCAGAGAAGGTTCATAAAATATTTGTGCTTTCACCAGAAAGTACCTTATCACTCGGAAATTTACTTTGACCTTTGCAAGAAGTACCATTTACTACCCCTTACAACGCGTCGTGAAATCGCTGATTGTACCCTATTATTAAAAATTTTTAGTAACGAAATTGACTGCTGCGAACTTTTATCTAAGTTTAATATTAATATTCCGTCAAGAACTCGCTATAACCCACCGCTGTGTGTACCATTTGCACTGACGAACTATAGAAAAAATTCTTTTGTTATTCGTTCAACTAGAAGCCTCAATAATGTGTGTGAACAATTTGGAATTGATATTTTTAATGTTAGTGTAACGGCAGCGAGGAGGTATTTAAGCCTTAAATTCTTCAGGGGTGATGGTGGGGGGTCTGAGTAGTTATTGTTATGGGTCCTGTCTGTTTTGTGTGTATATTATTACGTTCTGTGTAATTTGTAAGTGATCTGTGCCTGTAACTTATATAATACCTCTTGATCCTATTCTGTATTGTCTTATGCACTGTAACTTATCTCTGATTTATATAAGTGAGGATTTGTTATTGGCTATCTGTTTTCTTGACTGTTTTTATTGTAATCATCATAGCTGTAAATCTTCCATAGTTGTAATAAATAAATAAATAAATAAATAAATAAATTATTGTAAACTGTTACTTTCTTCTCTTTTTTTCTGTAAACTATTAAGTTTCTTCCCTACCCAAAAATTTTTATCATAACTTTGATTGATCGTTAGTATCTATCTGTAGTACATATAAAAATGTTAAGTTGGTTTGTGTACGCTTCAAAAACTCAAAAATTTCTGTAACGATTGAGCTCAAATATTGAAACGAAATATAACCCGCCTCAAAGATTGTTTTTCTCATTTATTTCCCATTAATACAACCACAATATGTCACAGCAAAGAGTGACAGTTTATTTAAATAATAATATTTTAATTTCGGACATACGACACACAACGCCATCTTGTTTCAAACTAAGCAGAGCTTGTACTATGAAAGCTAGATTGACTAATAGAATACATAGAAGACACCAAAACTCCGAAACAAATATTTGCAGATTACACAAACATTTGGTCCGACCCGGGAATTGGACCCGAGGCCTCAGCACAGCAGTCGTATACACTACCACTGCATCACCGAGGCAGTTTGATTATTATGTTTGTTATAAATATTGAAACATTATGTTTAACACATGTTTATATGAGGGGTAACCCTTTCGTGAATTCTCTTCATTGGTTTCCAGCTGGGTCATCAAATCAATAACAGGTCTCCGCCATATTGTAATTTCATCGTTAGCTTAACAGTTTGTTTGTTGTGTTTATAGTTATATATATAGTTAGAGTAGTCTATTGAAAAACTTGTGCGTTCTACCAGCAACGCACTAATTGTTCTATAAACTAAACATGAGAATCGGTTCAACGGTGTTCAGTAAAAGGACAATAGTTCATCCCCAATTTTTGCACCTTTAGTTAGATATTTTCTAAAATTCTATTTAACTAACTTTGTATCATAGTGCGTGAGAAATAAAAACGATTTTGTTTAAGTATCTCCTCCATGATTTTGTTAGTTAAAAGATACAGACAGACACAGATACAGACTAAACTGTTTCACCTATTTTAAGAATGTCTAAATTAAATTTCCAGGTTACCGTGAGTGCGAAGAAGGGACTCACGCGTTTGCAACGAGTTGCGGGCCTAAGACTCCCGAAGCGACTTGTGACGAACCGAATCCTAAACAAGAGAAAGGTATAATTTGCGACTACTCAGCTTGCTACTGCGACCCACCAACTGTCAGAGATAAAGTCAGTGGAAAGTGCGTCACCCTTGATCAGTGCCCTAAAAAATGATATGTGTCCTTTTTGAGTAACTTTATGCCTTGAATGGTGTTTGCCATGAAAGTCTTTTTATAATATTTTATGTTTATTATATGTATTTAAAGCGACATTGGCAATTAAGCCATGGCATCTATGTTGCGATTAAGAGTTTGCGATTTCGAATCCCACCTAGCACACAACCGAAGTGTATTCTTTAACTCGAGTAGGAAATTAGGCTTTTTGTAATAAAACTATAAAATTATACTGTAGTATTGTTTTATTTACACACAACCAGTTCTTAGTATTCATTACTTTTAGTTGCGTTTGAAGTGAAATTGGTAACAGAATGCTATATTTTTTTTTAATAATTTACAAAAAAATGTTGGCTTATTACTTAAATCCTAAACGAATACATTTGTTGTAGATTTAATAATAATAATTACTTCATCCTGATCATCATACATGACCATGAATTAAATCACGATGCAATTCTAAACATTAAGTTGTTAAAGCTTCCACATGGTTTTAGGTTTTTAATATGTTTATCAACAGCTCCAAGCAAATCACTAGGCAGACATTTTTTTTTAAATTGCACCCTTTTTGTTCAATGGGTAGATTAAAGAATAGACTATGAATTTATCGTGCTATTTCCAATAGAGAAAGAACAATAAAACGTAATGTCTTCATCTATTCATCATCATTGAGTCCACTGTTGGACATAGGTCTCTCCTTAGAATGGAGGTTTTGGCCTACTATACCACACTGGCCAGACGGGTTGGTATAAGGTTTGTTTCAAGTTTTCCTTCTTCTTGCGGTACTTTTGTTCTGCGTAGATTGCTCCCTTACTAGGTTCTTACGATTCTCACTGGATAAATCTTCATCTTTTTTTTATTTAAAAAACAAGACAACTCCTGCATTAGGAATATATCCTGTGTCGCGAGAGACTTTACAAACATACATGAAACGGACACAAAGAACACCCAGACTCAGAACAACAATTTTTGGATCGCACAAAGTGTCGTTCCATGTGGGGATCGGATCCACAACACTCAGCGAAGTAGTAAACGGTAGTAGTAACTTAAACCACTACGCCAGACGTGCAGTCAACTCACTAGTAATACACTCTTGATAGATAGTTCTCTCTGAATAGTCGCAGCTTTATGGACCTTAGTTGCTTCATAAAATCGTTCTTCTTTTCGGACTAGAACTCCAAACAGAGTCCCAATGCCCAAGAGATATTAGTCGGTGAGTAATGAGTAATTCTAAGCCTAAAAAAGTTTTTTCCTGTCTTTGGCTTCTATAGTGATAGTTTTATCGTGGTGACTCTGATACTCACTTGTGTTTTTCGGTGAGGCTCGACTGGGTACGTACCCGATGACACCCTTTGACTATTGACTGAATTGAATTATTACTGCTACAGTGCCTGTTTAAAACAACACCGCAACAATTCATAATGCAACGGAAAAGAAAACGTCATTCGCAAGGCCCCTTTTTTTTGTTGACGGGGTTTACTATCCCTTCAGATCTCCGGCTACTCGGGGACAAGGACACAGGAGTATGTGATGTTTCCCCTAAAAACCACCCCGACAGCCAACTTCATGCGCCATGCTCTGGGGAGGAGACGGACCAGGTTATTACATGTCCCCTCCGGATTGACGCCACACCAAGCCAGGCAATATCCCGGGGGCAGGCTTCCCCCCCTCCCCGCCTATCGGCCTAATACATATGCGTTGCGGCGAGATTGTATTATACCCCGTTGTATTATACCCCGATTGTATATACCCCGCTCTCTGGAGCCTGTGACCCCGTCGACGACTGATATCGTCACTGAAGCGATATGCGGAGCACGTAAGACCACTATGATAAGAACTATTGCTTCCACTCCGTATGAAATGGCTCAAGTAGCTTAGGAATGCATCGCATTTATTGAAAAGCTAGAAAGTCCTTTCTAAGGAGAGGCCTATGTCCAGCAGTGGACTAGTAAAGGCTGTTGATGAAGCTAGAATTATATATACTAGGTCTTGTGTTCAGCTAGACTGCTAAGCCAGAGGTCGTGGGTTCGATCTTTAGCCAGGAAAAATAATTGTGTTATGAACATGATTATTTGTTCTAGGTCTAGGTTTAATTTATCTAGACTTTAATGTATTTAGAAATATATTAGCATGTTTATCTGCGTCTAGTTAATATAGTCGTAGGGGAGCCCTAGAAGGGATTTCGGGATTTACTCGGGATTTGTCAGATTAAGATAGGAGGAGTACCTTCCACCTAGTTGAGTAAATGAGCCATATATATAGGGGCGGAGGGGGGTTGATCGTCTACGGCTGCCCATCAGATTAGTTTTAAAAAAATCGATGGCCAAAAATACTCGACCGTATAAGATTAATGTAAGTTAATAATATAGATAATATATTCTACCACTTTTACACAACGCCATCTAGTCCCAAAATAAGCAGAGCTTTGTACTATGACTACCGGACAACTGATATAAATACATTTATACTTTTGTTTTAAACACATACATATTATACATAGAAACACCCAAACCAAATCAAACATTTAATGTTCATGCACACAAATGTTTGACTTGAGCGGGAATCGAACCCGCGACCTTTGGAATAGCAGTCCGTTACACAAACCACTATGCCATCCGGTCGTGAACAGAGTGAGTTAATTACATGCATATTAGTGTGTATTTAAGAAAAACAGACGATTTGAGCGTACCATAAAGCAGTGGGAGGGTCACAAAGTTCCAAAACAAAAACATTACTTTGACATTTCTTTTTTATTTTGAAGCAAACAATTGGAGAAATCTTCTATAAATGTCTACATAGTTTATCATGCCTTTATTTGTCACAGTTTATAAAAAATCTAAAAATTAAAATATTTCAAACCGTCAGATTTAAAATACCCTGCAAAATTATCGTCAGAATTCTGGCTAGTAAGACAGGAACATCGAGCTGAACCGTCTGTATATAATCTAAATCGATTTTTCAAATTTACAGATTGCATTCCGCTACCAGCTTGGGTCACTTTAAAATCGTCAGACCTTTTAATGGGAGCATTTTTGGAGTCCAAGTAACATATCCCCAAGTGGCATGTCGGACTCGAACGACTACGGGGAACCAGGTATACCCTAGAAAGGGAGTCCCTGGTGCCGCGACATACCTCGGGCCATCTACAGACGACCTCCCCCCCCCCCGTGTGGGAACCCCATGTTCCCTATGCTCGCCTCGCTGAAAGCGAGCGCACTTTGAAACGCGCTCGCCGCCACCCCGGCCTGCTTCTGCTAGGGTGACAGATGGCTTCACCTGTCACCCCCAGGCCTGCGGTTATGGAGGACGGAGGTCGTTCTGCGACCTCCGGCGCCTGAGTCGCCTGCGGTACCTGGCCCGTTCCCGGGCCTTGCAGGCCATGAGAGTTCTAAACCTCTCCCGGTCGCAATCAGTCTATCGAATCATGGGCTTCCCTACTATAACAGGCTCGTCTAGTTTGGGATTAGACGGCGCTGTGTGAGATGTCAAAACAAGTAATACATACTCCAATTCATAAATTAAACAATGAAATTGATATAAATAATTTATGTTTTACTTTGTGTATACAAAGTTAGTATCGTAGGTTTTCTTATAAAATTGCCGAAATAATTTACTTAATACATTCATCAAGTGTCACGCATTGACCAGTGATAAGGTCTCTGACTGTTGGCTGCTCACAATAGCACGCAGAGAAGTTACAGACGATAGGTCCCTCTGTTTTAGGGTTTGGTTCATAGCAATTCGGTTCTGGAGTCTTTTGGCTGCAACCCGTCGTGTAAGCATAAGTACCTATTTCGCATGCCCGAATACCTGGAAAAACATAAAAATTCATATTAAGCTAGCTAGCTTATATGTGCTTGCATTGTTAAGCAAAGAGGAATAGATAAAATCCAACTTTAAAGGGGGTTGTATATCGTGTAAAAAATTGAGCTCAATCTGTACAGAACTTTTTCAGTTTTTTAAGGCGTATACAAACCAACTTAACATTTTTTTATAGGTACTCTTTTTTTTTAAAGACAACTCCCGCATTAGGAATAGGTTGTGTCGCGGGGGACTTTACAAACATACATGAAACGGATACAAACAACACCCAGACTCAGAACATCAATACTTTACCAGCTGCATCCAACAACACTTCGCTGTGACATATTATGGTTCCATTGATGATATATAGATAAAAACTATATTTGAAGCGAGTTGTTTATCGTGTCAAAATTTGAGCTCAATTGGTGCAGAACGTTTTACTGCGTACCGGCAAACGAAGCGTGGGAAGGCCCACAGATCAGTTAAAAGTGGTGAAGGAGAAAAATCTCAAAACTTAAAATAACACATTTGTATCGATATCAATAATCGATCTTTCAGTCGCTGTGACATGCATACATGAGAAATAAATTGCTTATGCTTGCGTGTGAGGGTCCGTCAAGACACTGCACTTGCATTGTGTGAGAATCAATAACAAAATCGGGATCTAAGTGGGTGTGGTTTATTTACTTGATTCTTGCTTGTAGTGGAATTAAATATTCGGGCACAAACGAGTTTTAGTACAAATCTGGAACCTTTCTAATCTTCTTTGACTGTTCTGATGGTGGGCTCCCCATAACGTATGACGACATGTTGAAGATCGCGGCGATTTATAGCTGGTATTATACCTGCTTGATAAGCGAAGACTTTTCTATAGCTTTACCATGTATTGGTAAAATAACCTCGTCCCTCTTGAAAAGTCGGCTAACACTTTCAACAGCAAAATAGGTTTGTTTATGAGTAATAATGAAAATAATAATATTTTCGGCTATCTGACTGTGTGTCATGTCCACCACGCCATATAGTTTCAAACAAAACATTGACAATATGTTAGTACTTAACCTCGAAACATTCAAAATCCAATATCTTTTTTCCTAGACTTCTTTTGCCGACTTTTTTCGACTTTTTTCTATCAAGTGTTTTAGGCATTTTTGATGTTTAAACGCTACCGTTTCAGTTTAAATGAAACTATGTATGTGGACCTCCTTTCCTATTCCCATATATCCTGGAGTGCCCATTTGATGGCGATAGGCTTGCCCGTTACGTAACTAAAATATTCCTCTGACTACCTCTTCAGTGATATAGAAGTAACTGTATAATATATGTATAAATATACGTGTATCGTTTAGGTACCTATTTCTCATATCATCAACAGCCTCTAATAATCCACTGTTGGACATAGGCCTCTCTTTATAAAGGAGGTTTTGGCCTACTACACCATGCTGGCCAGACGGGTTGGTATGGGGTTTGTTTTCCTTCTCTTTGCAGTGCTGTTGTCCTGCGTAGTTTGCCTCCCTTAGTCGGTTCTTACGACACCCACGCTATGATTTGGGTGGCGACACTATTCGGGGTATTCTTAATCTTTGTTTTCTTTGTTTGTTTTGTTTTTAAAAAAGACAACTCCCGCATTAGGAATATATCCTGTGTCGCGGGGGACTTTACAAACATACATGAAACGGACACAAATAACACCCAGACTCAGAACAACAATTTGTGGATTACACAAAGTGTCGTCCCATGTGGGGTTTGAACCCACAACACTCGGCGTTGTAGGAAGCGGCGTGGCGACCGCTTAAACCACTACGCCATCCGTGCAGTCCGTCACCACACGGACAGTTTAAATAAGATATAGATATAAGACTAGGAAGTGGGCACATTTTCAGATGTCTATGGACGGCATTAAGCTTAATTGTGATCCGTCTGCTCGTGTCCCCTCCCTATATCATAAAAAAGCTAGGTGTATTATCTTTCATCATACGCTTTAATAAAAAAAAAAAGAAAAAACTGAGTAAATAACAAAAACCAGTTAAAGCTAACTCGTTTATAAACACCTGTGACTCTTATAACTGGATCTCAATGAAACCGCAGCTAAAGATTGCTAGAGAACACATAGACAATATTATTATTATTATTTAATTTAAACAAAATAAACTATACTAAGACAAGAAGTTCATCAGCGACTTATTGACTATTACGTCCGACAATAAGCTAATTATTGAAAAACAAAAAACTTGACTGCTTGCAAACATCCATCGAGCCGTTCAGGGCTGCAAAGCGTGCCAAACATTTGAATTTCGCGCCAAAAGTCCGCCATTTTGTTTTTATTTTGATTTTGGTATTCCCAGTGTCACTCTCACAGTAAATACGAACCTACGACACCTCTCAAGCATACATCGGAAAACTCCTTCTGGCGCAGTCGGGTAAAAATAAATATTGGCATTTGGTTACAGTGATTTAATATTTTTGCCATCTTCTCAAATTTATTAGGAGTGGGTGCGAAGTGTTTTCTTTTCGATTCTTTTCTCTTTTTTCAATGATCCTACTACGCTTCTAAATATACATATCCTCTATTACCCAGTCCATCCATATTTTTTTGATCATACTTAACAAAAACTAAAAGTATTTGCACCTTTCCGCCACCGTGTGCACCGTCGCCACATCCGTGTGGTGACGGATTAAGAATACAGAGTGTCATCACCCCTATTTATCCTGTGGGTGTCGTAAGAGAGAAAACTATGCAGAACAACAGCACTGCAGAGAGAAGGACAGGAAGGAAAAACTTGACACAAAACCTATACTAACCCAGCGTGGTATAGTAGGCCAAAACCTCCTTTCTAAGGAGAGGCTTATGTCCAGCAGTGGACTAGTAAAGGCTGTTGATGATGATACACATACTCTTACTTCCTCCTTACATAAAATAGGAGTCCCTAATTTTAAATTCTACCCAATAGTGCTTGGTAGTGAATACCACAAGGTAATATGTGTATCTATCAAACCAACCGCGTGAAACAATAGACATTATTTGTAACGTAATCATAAAAATAGTCGTAAAAATCTTTATTGACATAAATATTGTTCAATTATAACAGGATCCTCTGACTTTTATTACTAACTTAAGTTAAATATAAATTTTATATACTATATACTTAGTTATTTTTGTCCAGCAGTGGACTATTAAAGGCTGTTGATGTGATACTAAGTTATATATAGAAACTAGCTGAGACCCGCGGTGTTACCCGCGTTTGTTGTTATAACCGCGGGCAACGCCGCGGGGCGAAGCTAGTCTAAAAAAAGTAGCCTAAGTTACTAATTATGTCATCAGCTATCTGCCTGTGAAAGTCCCGTCGAAATCGGTCCAGCCGTTCCAGAGATTACCCGGAACAAACAGACAGACAGACAAAAATTGTAACAAATGTTATTTTGGCATATGTACCTTGTAAACATACATATGCATTAAGTAAACAGCGGTTATTTTAATATTACAAACAGATACTCCAATTTTATTTATTTTTATAGAGTATAGATAATAACATTAGCAATTTATGTATAATATGTGTGTATTTTCAAGGTATATATATTTTTATATCAGTGGTCTGGTACTCATGAGTATTATGAGCATACTTAGAGGGTTCAGGGTTAAACTATAGGTTGCAGAAAGATGACCAAGTTATATCTCACCTTCTTTATTTGGATGATTTAAAATTACCAGCCTCGACTTAATTAAAATTAACAACATTATTATAGGTGACGGCAAACTTTAGTAATTCTATCAAAATGGAGTTTGGTGTAGACAAGTGTGCAGTCATGTATGTCAAGAAGGGCGTGATAGTAGAATTAGAAGGAACAGAGCTTTCAGATGCAATAAAACTCAGATCTCTGTCTTCCACTGAAACTTACAAGTATCTGGGTATATCACAGTCGTTGGGAATACCAGACTCTGACATGAAATAAACGTTGCAGGAACGCTTTTTTGGCTGCCTGAAAAAAGTACTTAAAAATCTTTTATCTGGGGGCAATAAGGTGCGAGCCTGCAATGGTTGGGTTATGCCGGTTCTGATGTATTCCTTTGGTATACTTAGATGGACTCAGACCGAATTAGATGCCCTTGACAGGAAAGTCCGTACACTGCTGACTGCATCCCGAATGCACCACCCACGTTCATCAGTTATGAGATTGTATATCCCGCGAAAGCTTGGGGGTCGCGGAATATTAAATATCAAGACCCTACACAATCGCAAAATATACAATCTCAGAGAATATTTTCTACATACTGATGTGGAAGTGCATCGTAATTTCGTTGCACTGGACACCGGATTAACCCCGCTCGCTCTGGCTACAGAGAATTGGCGGAAACCTGTAGTACCTACTTAGTACTAATGATCGCAGGGAAGTATGGAAGGGCAAAGAGCTCCATGGTCGGTTTTATCGGGCCCTAAACGGGTCCGATATAGACTTGAAAGCATCTACGACTTGGCTACGGTATAGTGATCTCTTCGGAGAAACTGAAGGTTTTGTTTGTGCGATTATGGACGAAGTTATCATGACGAATAACACATTTTGGTTGACATCTGTCGGGCATGCCACCGTCCTGGGGAATCAATCAGGCATATTATTTCTAGTTGTTCTGGTCTCGCTAACGGTGCAAAAAACCAAGTAGCCAGGATCGTACACCAACAGCTTGCCCTTAAAAGCCATCTTGTGAATCTAGAGGTGCCATACTACAGGTATGTGCCCAACCCAGTTGTCGAGAATGGTCGGGCCACGTTGTATTGGGATCGATCTATTATCACAGACAGGACTATTGTTGCCAATAAGTCTGATATTGTAGTGATAGACTGTGATTGATTGTTGATATCGCGCAATGATTGTTGATATCGCCTTTCCTCATGACGAGAATCTCGTGAAAGTTGAAAAAGAAAAACAGATAAAATATTTGAATTTATCTCACGAGATCGTCGGTATGTGGAATGTCTATTCAGTGATCATTGTTGCGATAGTTGTACCTGTTCACGGATTGATAGCCAAGAGCCTCGGCCAACACCTTAAGAGGCTCATGTTGGACGGCTGGATCAAGGGTCTGATGCGGAAGGCAGTATTCCTTGACACGGCTCGTATAATGAGGAGATTCCTATCTTTGGACTCCTAACCACCGGTGTCTTGGTCCCTGTACCCGATATCGGTGGTCTACTATTTTTTAAATTATTAGGTATTATTATTACTAAGTATTTTTTTTCGTTTGTAATATATTTTGAAATTTAATCAATATGTCATATATATAATTTAATAAAAAGAATAATAATATTTTTGGATATTGACACACAACGCTATCTAGTTTCAAACTAAGCAAAGCTTGTACTATGAAAGCTACATTGACTGATAGAATAGTTATAGCCGATACTTTGTTACTTAAAATTTGTTTGAAAATCTACTTTGAGAATATCTTGTGTACCAATAATGTATTTAAATCGAATAGCGTAATAATTAAATCCTGACCACATTGCAAATAAGCAGATAAAACAAAATGTACTCCAAAACTACCGAATGTTTCTATGTTTGTGGGAGTTTTGCAAGTTTGTAAATAATTAATTAATATAAACTATTTGTAATATTTCTAATGAATATGAAATATTTAGTTTCTTATTTTTTGAATAGTTACTGAATACCTTTTTTTTTTTTCCGTGCGGAAATCCCCTCGGATACCACCTGTCGGTGGCATGTCGGACTCGAACCGACTAAAACGCCTTCGCCGGGTACTAATAGCCGGGGAACCAGGTATACCCTAGAAAGGAAGTCACTGGTGAGTTACTGAATACCTATAGATTTTGTAAAGACCTTGTTTTGTGTGTGTCGGAATATGGCTGTCCTACAATTAGTTTTAATGAATTAATACATCTTTCATTCTTCTTCTTCTTCTCAGCCGAAAGACGTCCACTGTTGGACATAGGCCTCCCCCAAGTTTCGCCACGACAACCGGTACTACGTTGCCCGCATCCTAAGGTTTTCCCGCGACCTTTACCGGGTCGTCGGACCAGCTTGTGGTCTACCCACGCTCCGTCTTCCGGTATGCGGTCACCACTCGAGAACCTTTTGGCCTTATCGGTCTTTATTTCTGTGAGCAATGTGTCCCGACTACTGCGACTTCAGTTTGGCAATTCTCCAGGCAATGTCAGTGACCTTGATTCATCTGGGGATCTCCTCATTCCTGATTTAATCACGCAGAGAAACTCCGAGCATTCGCCTCTCCATTGCTTTTTGCTCTTTCTTTCATTTGTCGGTATAATTGAACTGCGATTGTATGTACTTAAGTATCAGATATACGTACGTGACAGCAAAACGTATACATATATAGGGCAAGTATGTAGGGTCTAGAAGCCATTTTCACGAATTTTGCGAAATAGCTTAAGTACGAATAGGTATTTCTAGCATCATGCTTGTATTGCTTAGAAAAGTAGCTTTCTGCACTTTTAAATATAAACTTTATTAGTTTTCTGCATTTTATTTGTCACGTTTTTTTTTAATGAAATGCATACAAAGGATTTCTCTTGTACTATTATTATGTAATTTACTCATTCTTAGATAAGTCTCCTTCACTAAGTCAAAGAAAATAATCACTTACTAAACTTACTTTTTTTTAATAAACATTTTTTATAACGCAAAGACTATTTTTTCATAGACATTAAAATTATTGTCTATACCACTATAGTAACAGTTTTCTTGTTTGTTTAAACCAGAGGTTCTTTTATTTATTTTTGGTTTCGGTGGACCCCTTGCTGCTACATTTTTAACCACACTCCCAAAACTCGTTACAAAACAAAGATTTTTCAACGTAGATCCCCTTTAAGTCCCCCGTGGATACCTGGGGGTCCACACCTGGACCACTTTGGGAATCACTGGTTTAAACAAACTAATCTCTAGAACTGTCAGTGAGATTAATTTGATTATTTTTGAATTTTATAGAATATTTATTAATAAATAACATAGGGTATAAATCATCGCAGAAGGACCTCCGTCCTCCATAAGCGCAGGCCTGGGGGTGACAGGTGAGGCCATCACCCTAGCAGAAGCAGGCCGGGGTGGCGGTGAGCGCGTTGCTAAGCGCGTTGCGAAGCGCGCTCGCTTCCAGGGAGCAGAGGGAACATGGGGTTCCCACACGGGAGGGGTCGTCTACTCGTCTGTAGATGGCCCGAGGTATGTCGGGGCACCAGGGACTTCCTTTCTAGGGTATACCTGGTTCCCCGGCTATTAGTACCCGAGACGGCGTGCGGTTTTAGTCGGTTCGAGGCCGACATGCCACCGATAAGTGGTATCCGAGTGGATTTCAGCACAAAAAAAAAGGGGTATAAATCATGACGCTATGATCCTTAGTACCAGAGCAGTAAACAATGCCTAGTATTAAAATAAAATAAGTCAAAATTATTACTCAAGTTTATTAGTTAAATAATAGACAGCCCAATTAATAATCACACCGTCTTCATCTGCAATTAAGTCTGTTAATAACTTTATGTAAATGAATATGACTCAGAAGTAAGTAAGTAATTAAAATATAATAAAAACAATGCGAAAAACCAGTCATAGTAAACACTCATTAATGCTTAATAACGAATCATTTTTCAAGTTCTTGTATCAATTATCAAATATCTGAAATCAAATTTAGTTACTCTTAAAGATAAAATTAACAATTCAGAAAATTTTGTGCCCTAGGCAGCCCGACGAATTTAAACGATAATTAAACTCGAATTTTTGGTAAAAAGTTGCCACTCCAGAACAAAATAAGGTATAATCATAGAGCAATCTAAGACTGGAGTGAGACCGCGGCTTCAAACCGATGTTACGAAGTTCTTTTGTCGTAGTTAACCGAGTCATATTGCAGCCCCGGATCTAAGAGGCCAACCGGGGCACCCGCCCTGGGCGGCAGTTTCAGGAAGCGCCAAAATCACAATACAGTATGATTAAAAATAAAAAACTTGCTCTACAAAGCGCCTATCATACGGAAGCCTGGTTGGCTTACCGTCGACTTGTAAGAAAAAGACGCCACGCAGGCCCACACCACAAGTGAACTTATGTATTTGTGAGTTTTTTAAGTAATTTGGGGGAATAAAGAGGGGCACCACTACCAAGTTTCTGACCCTGTTCGAAAAAATCGTAGATCCGAGTCTGTCAGGTTGCGGGAGACGCAAACCTTTAAGTCAAAGGGCTCACAGGGCAACGAAACTTATGGCTCTTGACTTGCAAGAGATTCTTTTGACAAACATTTGTTTTCCTAAGTCTTAGTAATCTTTATATAAATCACAGAGAATTATAAATCGTTTCAAACTTACATTTTCCGGATGCATATAAACAGCCGCGCGGGTATCCATCAGGCTTAGCAGACAACAATGCAACGAATGTCAAAACACATAAAACTACTAACAACTTCATGTTTATAGATGACAATTTAACTTTGTCGTTTATTACGAGTTCTGTGTGTAAACTATTTTTGTCCACTGGCTCGTGCAAGCTGAAAGGACGGTTTATATACCTCGTTATATACTTTAATTGGTCCGTTTATATGCAATTTTATACGATTTCTCTTAAGGTCAGTAGATAACTGTTGTATTTGTTTTGTCAATTGTGCAATTCGGTGTTAAAATATGTGAAGATGTACCTCTGTTTTATCTAAATTGAACGGACGATAACATAAAGGTTTAATCTTTCTACAAAAAGATGTCCTCTCATTGTTTGTGAAAGAGGATCTCTCACGTACTATAAGACAACGATTACATTCCCAAAGATGGTTGCCGATAGACTTTTTTCTTTAATGTCCTATATCCTCTGACTATGCACGGATGGCGTAGTGGTTTAAGCGGTCAAAACGTCGCTGCCTACTACGCTGACCGTTGTGAGTACGATCTCACACAGGACAATACCTTGTGTGATCAACAAATTGTTGTTCTGAGTCTGGATGTTCTTTGTATCCATTTCATGTTTGTCTTTAAAGCCCCCTGCGACACAGGATGTATTCCTAGTGCCTTCCTAAAAAAGAATAAAAGCCCCTTGGCAATATTATACTTAAATTGCGCCAACCCTAATCAATATTCGAAATAGAGCAAGAATATGGTGATAACATGTATGTGTGTGGAGAAGTAAAATTAATAGAACTAACTATACTATTTTTTATCTTTATTTATTTTTAATAAAAGGATTTTTATCCACAAGTACGATGGGGTTAGCCCCCATCGTACCCTATCATACACGACACAACATACCTTAATATTATCCAAATAAAAGGGAATTATTGATGATTGTTGTGGCAGACTTCCAACAAGCACACAACCGCATTGTAATTTCCGTCTTTACAAGTACTACTGTAAACAAGCCCAACGTTCAAAATATTACATTTAAATTATCTAATCAGTAATTCCCTTTTATTCCTGTTCCTAACACAATCCATCAACAAATGCTGTACATCTTCTATTTTGCCACACTTACAGTTAGTCCACTTTGAATTGGGTCCGATCGGAGATCATCCTCCCGGACCCTCTGCGCCGCCTCCTTATCTTCTCCGAAGACTGCAGTGAGGACCCGACGCTGCGACGCCCAAGCCTGTCAAATTGCCAGCGAGGTGCTGAGCCGAGTCTTAACTGCAATCGCAGTGGTGACAGGCGGGACTCAATTCCCTCTTAATGACTGAGTGCAGGTACTTCCCGAAGCAGCCATGCGACGAAAAGGACCGCATCCGTGAAGGAATGAGTCCCGTGCTGCCGCCCTGCCCACTCGACGATGACTGACTGGAGCACCTAAACGGTGGCAAAACCAGCACGTGGAGCCTCCAGCCGGGACGACCAACGAGCCATCGTGGCTTGACGAGCGTCCTCACGCCACTCGCGTACTTCTTTGCATGTTGGCCGACTGCCTCTAACCGCCGCAGATTGATTAAATTTTCAAAGGCAGAACTGAGATAAAATAATTTGAAACCATAAATATGAACAAACAAATTCTAATATTTTTACGTTTTTCTTCCGATTTATGCTTATTTACTTAAAGAGATAATTTCCATGACGTTATAGAATTTTATTGCTATTAAAGTAGGAGATACAAGTTTTAAAAATACTGGTTTACGTCAATGTCCTATCGTTTATAGAAGTTGATTTTGTTACTCAGTCTCTCGATTTTTGGTACTTTGAGTGGCCATTTTTGCTGAAAGACCATATCCCAAACCTGACTATTTTCAAGATATTTTATATACATTGTTGATACATTGTTTTATATTGTTCGTTACCTAAATTGTAGTTAACAAACATGGCCGAAGTAGATGGTTGATATTAGTAAAATAAAATATATTTTAATATATTTTTCTTTGTGCAATATGTAATAAAAAACTATGACAGTTAAGTGTTAAAAACATGTACGCATTGTAAACAATCTAATAATCGATAAAAGTCTAAGATAGTATCAAAATTCATAGAAAAAAAACTTAGATAAAAGTCCAGGAGTATTAAGAATAAGCGTATAACCCCTATAAAAACTTATCTTGTATTTTTGACCTATTACCTTGTGGCGACTCCCACACACAAAGTAACAGAAACATACTACAGCGCCATCTAACGAAGACACGCCGAACTAACCGAACTACGGAGTAACTCCTAAATGAGAATTGCTAGTCCTGTATCGCGTATGAAAAATTCTCTCGCCGATTCGCATTTATACAACTTCCCAACATCAACCGTTGGCCCGCGACCCGCCAGGCATGTTCACCTCGCCTAATTGGAGGATCATGTTGTCATGTCCTTCCAGCACAAAGGAAGGATCCTTTGTGCTGGAAGGACATGACAACCATTCTTCCACAACCTGTTCTATTGGTGACAAACTATTGCTAACTGGACTTTGATGTGTGATTCTGATACTGTTGATCATGATGATATATATGAAAGAGGAATATGTTGATATTTAATTTCTTACAGATACTGGTATCTGTCTGGCCTGTTGGTAACCAAGCGAACTTTACTGTAAAAGTTGTGGGTTCGATTCCCGCGCAGGACAAATAATTGTCACGAACACGTTCACTTGTTCAGTGTGTGGGTGTAATATTATACTAAGTATATTTATGAACTATATAGGTGACGTTACTATAAGTGAAGGCTCTGCCTAGTTCAGGATCAGACCCATGTGTTGGGCACACCGTTATCGCGGCGGTAAGGCGGTAAGGCATCACGGGACCCTCTCATACCGGTTGACGCAGGTGATCACCGGGAAAGGATGCTTCGGAGATCACCTGTGTCTGATCCCCAAGGAGCCAACGCCTGAGTACCACCACTGCGATGGCCGAACCATGGACACAGCGCTCCATACGCTGACAGAATGCCCGGCGTGGGTGGAGCAGAGGCTTTGCCTCGTGGCGGCCATCGGGGTGGGAGTTCTCTCGCTCGGTAACCTGATTGCCGCCATGATACGGAGCGAGAGTTCGTGGAACTCCGCCGTCTCCTTCTGCGAGCAAGTTATGCTTGTTAAGGAGATGGCGGAGCGAGACCGGGAGAGGATTAGAACTCTCTCGGTGCGCGAGGCCCGGCAACGGGCCAGGTACCGCAGACGACACAGGCGCCGGAGGTCGCAGAATGACCTCCGTCCTCCATAAGCGCAGGTCTTGGGGTGGTAGGTGAGGCCATCTGTCACCCTAGCAGAAGCAGGCCGGGGTGATGGCGAGACGCGCTTCTAAGCGCGCGCCCTCCCTTCGGGAGCACAAAGGGGACATAGGGATTCCTACACAGGAGGGGATCATTTACGCAAGTAGATGTCTCGAGGTACGTCGGGGTATCAGGGTCTTCCTTCCTAGGGTACACCTGGTTCCCCGGCAACTGGTACCCGAGAGGGCGTGCGGTTTTTGGTCGGTTCGAGTCCGACATAACCACCGGTGGGTGGTGTCCGAGGGGATTTCCTCACAGAAAAAAAAGGATCAGACCATGTGTGAGGTGTGTTAAAGTATTTATAACTAAAACTAAGATAAAAAATAAAGTGGTCTCTAAGTGTTAGTTCCTTGTTGATTAATGAATATTGAGTATTTCATAACTCAGCGTCAATGCAAAAAAAAAACAATTTCTTGTAAAAAAAAAACCGCTACACGCTGTCTAAATTACAGCGATTATAAACCTATACAATATATTATAGTGCCATCTAGCGACAAAGCGCTAAATTAATTCGATTATCGATTATGGCAAGACTGATGTATTCTTAATGACATAGGGTGCAAAAGATCAGACGAGTCACCTGATGGAAAGCGACTACCTCCGCCCATGAACGCCTGCAACTCAGGAGTTACAAGCGCGTTGCCGGCCTTTGAGGAAGTAGTACTCTCTTTTCTTGAAGATTTGAATTTCCCTCTGTGTTCCCTGCCTCCTGAACTAAGGAATAATAGAGAGAGGATGGTCCTGCGGTGTGTGCGTTAAAGACCCTTTTTTTTTTAACCCTCTAAGGGAATCAAGGGAAGGGGGAGTTTTGGGCTCCGATAACTTCACGCACTCGGTGTAAAGCAACAAAAGAATTGTTTTGTTAAAACCGGGTTTCTATGAGGTGGTATCACTCCGGTCGAGCAGACCCATTTGTGCAGAAGCATAGCTCTCCCAAGGTTTAGTAAGTTAAGGTACGTTAGTTTCCCACAAAACATCGCCTTGTATTGCACGTACAACAGGCCAATAGTGGTAAGCCTCAAAAATGTGATAACCACTTTTAAAGAAAAAAAGTGATACAATTATATTTATTGTTTCATTTTTTTCTTTAAAAGAAGTTGTATGTTGTGTCTTTTAGAGAATAAAGTTTTATTTTGTTTTATTTATTTATAACGAATCGACCTCCATTTATCGTGTCCATTATAATTGGTTGGTAAGTAAGTTGGACTGCCTCGGTGGTGCAGTGAAAAAGCACTTCCCCTCCCCCCCTCCCCTCTCCCCAATCACGACGTTGCGGCCTAATTGCATCTGAATGCAATTAGGTTACCATCCTATCCCCACATTTATAAGACCTGTGTGCTATTATGGAGTGCCGCACAGAGAGGAGCGCAAACCATCCTGGTTTCGGGTAATCCGCATCCATCCGCCACCAGCCATTTTCCTCAAGTCGTCGCTCCATCGTGGTATAACTCCGGTAATATATACTTATAGCACTGCAACGGTAATGTTTAAAGCAACATCTTTAAATTCGATTACACAGTATTTATCTTAAATGTCAATCGAACAGAGTGCTTTGAATACAAACAAACTTACCGTTACATATTGAGTTAACATACCGGTATCATCGAAAACTTGTCCAAAGTTGGGCCACTAAACTTTCTGGTTTATTTGTAGTGCTGTAGGTCAATGACATTAAATGGCCCATTGACGATATTGTGCAGATTTGGCTGCAGATGTAAAATGCAGATTTACACCCCGTTTTACACTGAATTTTCAATA